TTGTGTATTCATACTCAGAGCCACAGGCAAAGCATATAGAACTCTATTTAAAGCATCTTTTTTTCTGACTCCTTTCATCCCCTCCAGTCTCATCTATTCTAACCTATGGTGTGGATCTTTCTTATTCTTTCTGTGTGTTCATTCAGCATACATGTGTACATACCTTCATACATACTTGAAGTAAGGTGGCTTTTGTTTTGATTTCTAGAACTGATGCTGGAGAGCTGGCTCTGGTGATCCTTCTCTCCAGTTCCCATCATTCAGGGAGGACCTTGAACTGCAGCTTCAGAATTTAGAAGCAGTGTAGAGAGAAAGGAGGTTATGGTCCCTAGGAGGCATGCTTTAGCCTAGGGAGCCTTGTAGCCACTTGCAAGGTGGTTCCTAGACACTTTTTTATAGTCTCTATTTTGCAGATTTTCTTTTCACTTTGGGCCAGACTCTACAAGAAACTGTTCATAGTTTAAATATTATTTATGGTGGTTTTTTTTCATTTTTTTTAACAACGTTTTGTGAACTTTTCCAAGGAAGCATGACCTAAATTCTAGTTATTATCAAAGCAAAACACCTCAAAGAGAGTAAGAAATAGATTTTTCTGGATCCAAATGTGAGTGACCCTGGCCTGGGAACATAGATTGATGTTCCAGTGTGCTAATAGTTTCATGAAGGTTTATAGTGAAAGAACAAAGTCATAAATCAAGACACTAGGGATGAGCATTGAATCGAAGTAAGGAAAGCTGTTTCAGGCCTCAGACTGTATCTGAAAACATTTGCCTTTTGATTAGTAGAAGTTAGTGGTCTGTTGTGTGAATAGATTCATTAAAGCTTTGCCTGTTACAAGGATGTTCAGTCAACAGGGAATGGCTACTGAGGAGTCTGAAGGTAACCTGTGAGGATTTGTGGTTAGACTCTGGGCCTGCAGCATTCCAGCGAGCACCGAGCCTCCCATCAGACACTAAACCTTGCAGGAGGTTCCATGGCAGGTGCTTTTCTTTCCAGAACTCTTGCTCAAATGGCCATCATATGATAGTAATGTAATAGAGTATGTAACAGGCTACTTCCAAGGCTAAGCAAATGCTGTAAGTTGTTTATATTCAATTATGAAGGGCAATGGAATGACCACGAAGAAATCTCGATTACTTATTTAGAACTGCTGTCCAGTAACTGTCACGGCAGTAGAGTTGGCTCTGTTAGGGCACAGGTTTGGAAGCACTGCAGTCTGCACTGTAAGGCGTTGGCCCTTCTTGTTAGGAAGTAGCACACTGCTAAAGCTTTGCTTGCTCTCAGCTGCTCTTGCATTGAGATGCAATCCAGAGAATTGGTTCAGGAGGAACCACTGACCTTGGTGTTGGGAACATTTTCCTGTTAAAGAGAGGAGGAGAAATATCCCAGCACCACAGGTGTTGGGGATAAGTTGAACCAGAGGAACAAAACTAAACCAGAAATGATTGTCTTCCTTTGTTTCCCCTCTCTGTTTAAACTGCTGGCTAAAGCTGAGGTGGACGAGCTTTAGGGTGCTAGTGTTTCCAACTCCCTCAATAAAGCACAGCTTAAAGATTCAGTTCTTGATTTTTGTTGGTCTGTCTTGCAGCAGGGCACACAAAGGTTTGATGTTTGTTTAGTCAGTTTGAATGATTCAAATTTGGCTAGTTGTGTTAGAGTAGCCTTGGAGGCCATTGCAGACGTAAGGGCTCTGTTGAGGCCCATTAAGAACAAGCTGTTTTCGCCTGGTCAAAGAATGGCATCTACCTCTGACCCTGGATGGAGACATGGCATTCTGATCTGCTCCAAAGATTAGAATATTGCATAGTGTTGTCTTCTCCCTTGAGAGCTGGACCTGCCAATCAAGAGACCACCCTTCAGGAAGCCTGGTTCACCTAAAGCCAAGCCAAGGAGGTAGGAATAATTATCCCCTCAACCCTTCTGAGAAGCTTTTCTTCTGTTGCAGTCATTTGCAGAACTCACAGCATCTAATGGATGCCTGTTGGCTTTTTTTTTTTTTTTTTTTTTTTTGGTTGCTCAGAAAAGTGTTACTTTTAAATTTTTCTTCTTCGGGATAGTTCTGTTTCCTTTTGGGTATTTATTTGCCAAGGCTTGGGCACTTCCTGCACACTCCTCTTTCTCACGCTTTCTCAGAAGCTCCACTCCCCTCTGCCATAGCTGCTTGCTCTTCTCCATCAGCTAAGCTGCCTGCTTTCTTGAAGGCTTGCCTTTCTTCCTCTTCTCCATCCTCCTCCTGCTGGCAACTGCTGAGATTTTTGGCTAGCTGGACCTGTTGTTTTATCTTTCAGACTCTTAATAAAATTTGCCTTGGGCTTTCTTCCAGGTCTGTTTCTAAATTCTTTCATTAATGAGATCAAGAACTTAAAGTGTGAACCTTGATTTCCCTGTAACTGTTGTGTGTGAATTATGACTGATTTAACATTTTTTGCTTATTTTCTTGTTTTGCATTTATTAGTTCTCTTTGGCCCTAGAATAGCAATATAAAGCTTAATTAGGAATAGATTCTGCTATTTCTTAGTTTGCCCTTATTGGATCATAGGACATATTCAGCTTCATGTTTAGTTAGTAAATCACAAGCAATATTTTTGGTCATTGTTTGCCATCTTGTTGACCTGTCTGGAGCCTAGTGGCTAAAGCTGATACAGAATAGACACTATCACAGCCATAGCATAGTCCCATTGTCTGCGTGTTCCTTTTTAGACAGGATCTGAAGGTACTATAGATGGAGCCTAGGGAGGCTGGGCACGTAGGTCGCAGGGGTTAGGTTCGTTCTGTGATCAAAAGAAACATAAGACATAATTTCAGAAAGGTCATGATGCTACCATAAGGTTGTGAATTTGAGGGGCACTGCTGTGTTGTGAATCTCCAGTTTTACCTACAGGTTTGTGTCTGAGTGCTTGGTCTTCAGTTGTGTCTTAGTGTCATTTCTGTTGTGATAAAATACCCTGATAGAAAACAACTTAGAGGAGAGAGGCTCATTTTAGCTCACCATTCCTGGTATGTCCATTGTTGTGGAGAAGTCCAGGTAGCAGGGACTCGAAGCATTTAGTTGTATTACACTGTTAGCCAGAATCGGAGAGAAATGGATGCGAGCACGCTGCTTGCTTTTGTGTTCAGCTTATTTTCTCCGCTCTTAGACAGTGCCTGCAGCTGAGCTACTGGTGTAGCGCATAGAGACCAACTATGCTGTTCAATGTCTTGCCATACACAGAGCAGCCTTTACCACAAAGATTGGTCCTGTCCAAACTTGGGTTATTACTGCAATGGAGAACTTCAGTCTGGGATGAGAAGCACAGGATACTCTGGTTCTTCCTGACCTGAGAGAGGCTTGAGTGCTGTTCGAACATCATGAGCATCATCAGAGCTGCCATCCTGGAGAAGGCTAAGAATGAACTTAGCAAGGTTTAGACAGTAGGAGAGCCCGGGAGAATGGCCATCAGGCAGGGACAGTGCAGAACTTGAGAAACTTGGCGGAGGCTGGCTGGTACCCTGGTTTTAATAATCAGTAAGAGTTTGACATCAAGTAAGACTATAAAAAAACAAGGTTATTAAACACTGCAGTCTGAAGCAGTAATCTAGGAACATGCCCAGAACAGTAATTATGTTCATGGTAACTAAAAAAAAAAATGCGGTAACTTCTGTGATAATTTTTTATTTCTTGCTGTGCTGGGGATTAAAACCAGAGCTTTTTCTCTGGTCGGCAAATGCTCTACCACTGAGCCACGTTTCCAGCTCAGAATTTATTAAAGGTGAATTTTGTCTCATGTAATACTGGAAAGGCAAATGCAGAGTAGAAACATCTTGGCCAAAATACTTGAAAATTACAGACACATTTTTAAAGTATAAAGCCTCTTACTTAGAAATTTCTTTTACAGAAAATGTCTCGTTATTTGTGACCTCTAGTAAGTGAAACCCTGCTATATTATGCTGTATTTTACAAACATATTTTCAAAAACCCTCATTATCATTGACCTCTAGTAAGTAAAGTAAGTAAAGCCTCGCTATATCATACTCTATGCTTGTAAACAATTTCAAAAACTATAGAAAGTTTCTGTCCCTCCTTATCCTGAGGGTTTTGTGGTCCTTAGAAATCTCTTCTACTTATAGAGAGTAAAAGAGTTTCATTTTGCATTTTTGTTTCATGTGTGCGTGCATATGTGCATGCATGTGTACATGTGTGTAGATGCCTAGGATTGACATCATGCATCTTTCTTTACTTTTTGAGACAGCTTTGAGCTCCGGGATGACATTACAAGTACATTCCGTACCATTATACCCTGCTTTTTATAAGGATTCTGAGGATCTGGATCGGGTCCTTCTGCTCAGCCTAGCCATCTTCCAGCCCTCATGTTTTATTTGTTTCTCAGTTGTTGTTAAGAGACACCATTACCAAGGCAACTTATAGAAGAAAGAGTTTGTTGTTGCTTACAATTTAGGGGTGAGTCATGACTATCATGGACAGGGAGCATGTGAGCAGGCAGGCATGGTGCTGGAGCAGTAATTGAGAGCTCACATCCTGAGATACAGCAGTGAGGCAGAGATTGGGGAAGAAGGGAGGGAGATCACACAGTAAATAACTAGGAATGGTTGTGGGCTTTTGAAACCACAAAACCTGCCCCAAAGTGGCACCAAAAAGGTCACACCTTCCAATCTTTCCCGAACAGTTTCACCAACTGGGGACCAAGCATTCAAATATGTGAGTCTGTAGAGACCATTCTTATTTGAACCACTACATCTCATCTTTAATTTTCCAATAGCTGAAAATATTACAATATACTGCTGCAGTTTATGGCTTACTAGGTACATTGGTCAAATCTTCTTTTGATAATACAGTTTTAAAAGGAAACTTACTAATAAAAATACATACAGCTCAAAATACAATTTTATGATATTTCTGTTAATCTTTCGTAAATATAAATTTTAAAACATAGTGCACACTTCTGGTTTTCACCTTTAATTCAATACATTCATATTCCACTAAAATAATTTAAATTTTAGGTTGCCCTAAAAAGGTTGTTGCTAAAGCTTGGGTTTATTGTAAAGGTTATTTTTGAAGTTTAGTAATATAAATATTATAAAAATACTTTATAGTTTCTAGTCTGGAATGCAAGAAACTTGGAGATCACTCCCTTTTGTTCCTCCAGTAAGAAAAATACTTTAGTTTTGTCTTTTTTAAAAAAAAGTCTCTGACTTATCTCCTGATATTTATCACAAGGCAGACTGCTGCTCTACATAGAGAGACAAACTGGTGGACACTGAGGTTCGCCACTGTTAGCACAGCAGACCCTGCTCCACGGTTGCCTAGCACTGGGTTAATCAGCATACCATGTGTGACAATTTGGAGAAAAAAACAAACATTACAGACACGTTTAGGTATAACATAGATATGAGAATTAATAGCTTCCTGTCACTATGATGATATACCTGATACAATTATAAAGAGAAAAGGTTTATTTTTGGTTCATATTCTAAGGTTTGAGGCCAGACAGCACAGTATGGAAGGCATGCGTGGAAGAGCATCACCAGTTCTCTCATGTTCCAGGGATCAGGAAGAAATAGAATAGAGGTGTGGATCCCGCAGCCTCTTTGAATGTGTGTCCCAGTGACCTGAAGGCTAGGCCCCACCTTCTAAAGGTCTACTACAGCTCCCAATAGCACCACCCTGGATATCAAACATTTAACACAGTAGCTTTTGTGGGTCACTCTAAGTCCAAGCTATAGTAGATGCTGACCTGAACGTCTCACGGACTTTGGCATCTGCAGTGTGTTCAGTTCTAGAAACAGGCTAGGTACCATATACCATGGTCCCCTTCTTCTGGGACCAAAAGTACAAGGGCCCTGTGGTAGATACAGCGAGTCTTGGAGTCATCCTCTATATGACAATCACTAGATCCCTGGCTTTTGATGGATAGAACATAGTGTAAGTGTAGGAGTAGACAGAGGATTATAATACATTCCCCTGTATCTGTGATATATGAAAACTTGAAATATCTGGTCTTCAATAATCTGATCATCAGAAAGATGAGCATGTTAGAGGGAATCCTGAAGGTACCGATGAACAAATGGAGGCCATGAAGCGTGTGATGGCTTAAATGAGAATGCCCCTTCTCCACACACCTACATAGGCTCATATATGTGTGTTCTTAGTTTTTAGTTGATGAACTGTTTGGGAGGATTAGGAGGTGTGTTATTGTTGGCAGGTTTTGAGGTTTGAAAAGTCCATGCCAGGCCCAGTGTCTGTTTGTCCGTTCATTCTGTCTGTCTGTCCATCCCTGCAGCCTGTGGATCAAGGCTATAATGTTTGCAACTGTCTGCTTTTCACCATGCTGATAAATGGACTAACTCTTAAACTGTTAACAAGCCCCCCAGTTAAATGTTTCCTTTGAAAGGAGTTGCCTTGGTTTTAGTTAGTCTCTTTGCAGGAGGAGAACAGAAAGATAAGATAAAGAGGAACTGAAAGTTTACAGAGAGCCACTGGTTGCTATAATCTTCTACCCAAGATGCTGCTGTCTATGGGCTAAGATTGGGATGAGACTCATTTTGGGCCAGAAGTGCAATCAAGGAGTAAGCAGTCATCAGACCACAGGCTCTAAGAGACCTTGAGAGCTCACCATCACTGTAGAACCCCTGCCTCCTTGAAAGCAGTAGGGCTAAACAAACATCGCTGTAATAGAACGAATATAGAAATTTGAGCTGTGTACTCTGTATTTCACATGTTCAGGACTCTAGGAACAACAGAAAAAAAAAGACAAATACATTTCACATATAAATACCTAATTTTTTTTTAAGTATAAAGAGCACCATAAGCAATATGAAAGAAAGCCAAGGACTAATCTGGGCAGTGTTTACAGGGACAGAGGGCTAATGCTCTTGCCAGAGATTTATTCTTTTGTTATTCATTTATTTATTTGAGATAAAAATCTCACTATGCAGCTTAGACTGGCCTTGGAATGTAATCCTAGCTTTCCTTAAACCTATGATCCTCCCTGCCTCTGGCTCCCAGTGTTAGAATTATTGGCATGTGTCACCAGCCAGACCTTACCAGAGATCTTAAAAATCAAGCAACAAACTCCATAAAAAGTCATGAAAGTAAAATTGACATACATACCGTGCAAGTTAAACCTAAGTTATTCTTCCCATCACATTGCTACATACAAAATAGATTGTTAGGTAATGGTGCTGATGGGAAGTTATGTTGATAGAATTTTCTCTGTGACAGTTTGGTAACATAGAAAAGTTTTTATGTGTATATGGTATGACTAGGAGCTCCTCTTTAAATTTGATGCAAGTAAATATTGACAATATTGTGTAACAACTATTCATTGTTAGTCTAATAATAGGGTAAAATTGGATTGTGTGAATTCCTCTTGTGAAATAATTATTTTATCAGTATAATGGAAAATCAAGCAGTCACAAAAATGATGTAGACTTGTTTTTGTCTAGTGGTATGGAATGATGTTCATTATATATGTAATTTAGGTGCAAAGATCAGGTTGTAAAGTGACACGTAGTGACATTTGCAAATAATGTTCCAGATTGAACAAGACTATATATATTTGGTATATGCATGTACCAAAATGTTTTTAAAAGGGCTGGTTATCTCAATGATGCTTTTAATTGTGGTCACACTGTGTAGAGTGTCCTTCTTATGAGCCAACTGGAAGCAGTGAAGCATTCAAATAGGGCAGGCAGGTAGAGGTTGGGAGGTGAAGATGGGCCCGGAGGCCATCTTCCCATAGCATTTGCCCTAAGTGGCCTCAGATGGAAGTGGGCCTGCATGCAGGTGGAACCCAAGTGTAGTCAGTGCAGGGGCTGGAAGAAGGGCGGCAGGGCGCACCTCAGGCTGGGTAGGTGAGCCACCTGCGCCCCTGGCCGGAAGAGTAAAACCGGAAGGGTAAGCGGGCTGCACTCCGGCCGGAAGGGTGAACCAGCTGGCTTCTCTGTCAGCTTTCTCTTCACAGTACTCCGCCTACCAGCCAGGCACCATGAGGTTTCGGGCCAGGATCACCAGCAGGAGTGTTCTAGAACTCTTTATCCAAGTCAGCGGCACCGTAACAAAGCTGGCGAAGGTCTGTGTGCTCCGCGTGTGTCCGGACAGGCTGTGCTTCTGCTCTACAGGCCTGCCGGGTGAGGCCCGGCTGTGGGGTGAGGCGAAGCGGGGCGTCTTCCACCACTTCTGCATGGAGGGTGTTTCGGAGGAGTTCAATGAGATCTATCTAGAGCTGATGTCTGAGCATCTGGCCAGAGCCATAAAAAATGCGGGCTACGCTTCATCCCTGAAGCTCCAACTCACCAACAAGCTTCGTCCCTGCCTCACTGTGGTGGTGGAGCTGGCGTCATGTCCAGGCCACACCCGTGCCATGGTCCACGACTTACCTGTGAAGGTGCTTCCTAGAAGGTGGTGGAAAGAGTGCACCGAGCCCCGAGTTTGGGCCTCTGATGTGAGTGTTTATCTGCCATCTTTGAAAACCCTGAAGAACATGGTGGAGAGGATGGCAAACGTGGGCAATCGTGTGCTTGTGGAAGCAAATCTAAATGGCAAAATGAACTTGAGTGTAGAAACTAATGTCGTGACTATTAAAAGCTATTTTAAAAATCTTGGAAATCCTCCAAAGGCTGTTATGGATACGACTCAAGGTGAAGACCCAGAGAACATGGTGCAAGTGAGGGTGGACAATAGGAAGCTTCTACTATTTTTTGAAGGACAGCAAATAAACCCCACAGTGGCCCTATGTAATATTTTGAGCAGTACTCTGCTTCATCTTGTTTTGGTTCACGATGGTATCTCTCTTCAGTATTTTATCCCTGCTTCATAAATAGTCAAGCAGTCCTGCTTTTCTTTTTCAAAGAAATCTTAATTCAAGATCTTTCCAGAACTGAAACTGAATTACTTGAAAGAAAAGCCTGCTCCCGGTGGATTATGTAGGGTGTTTGCTTTGTTGAGTGCTCCCTTTGTAAAATGTTAGGAAATAATTGGAGAAATAATTGAATAGTTCATGTGCCTGCTTTTTGGCTTTGACAGTTAAATTATATTCAATTTTGTTGTTTTGCAAAAAAAGGATTGTAATAAAATAAAATAGCTGAATCCTGAAACAATTGTATTACTTTATTATGAAATACTATTGTGAAGAATGAGAAATTTCTTCTCTTAAAATAAACATTATTTTGAGAGACTTTTAACTTAATAAGCTCAGTTTCTCTGAAAAGTATAACATGGATTTTGTACTAGTGTGTACACCACATATTTATTAAAATATGTTTTGTCTGGGTTCCAGTTTTGGGGAACATTTTGAGAAAATTCCAAGATCTGCAGGTTTGTGCCTATGCTTGAACAGTATATATTTGACTTTCTAATAACATGGATTTGAATTGCTTTGGTCCACTGATTGGCAGATTGTTTTTTGTGTATGGATTTTGTAACTTTTTTTTAATTCAGAGGATCCCTGCAGCATAAAATACTTTAAAATGAACAAAATCCATAACTATATGTAGATTGTATACATTTGCTAAGTTAACATTTATTAGTACTTAAGCATGCAGACTAAACACGGTGCCATTCACAATGGAGGTAAATGTGAAGATACGGTATGGCTGCATAACATCAGCTGTGGTCCATGCTGTACTACTGTAAATTCAGTAACCACCTTCTTTAGGTGTTGTGGGAAGTCTGAGGTTACTTACAAACTTTCTGTTGCATAGAGTTGACACCTATAACTCTAGACGTTGGATTTATCATATACAAAGTTCAAGTTGGCTATTAATTTTCATATATTTACTTAAGGGACTGTTGTGTGACTTTTCTTGGGAACATGAGCAAGTGTATATTTACTGCAGATAGGGAGGACATCTCAAAACCTAAGGAAACTGAATCCAAGTATAGCTTAGAAAACCTATGCGTGTATTTGGGGTTATAGGATCATGCATGACTCAAAGGCAACTAGGTCACTGAAAAGTCCACTGAAGAATTCCTGGAACTCCCTGCTCATCTTGAATCAAGATTTACTTATGGGAAAACTTTTGAGTAAACAGAGCTTCCATTTTTATTTTTCCTTTTGCCCATGGTGTTCCATTATTTCAACTTAGAAAATAATATTTTTTTAATTATATGTGTATGAGTGCTTTGCTTGCATGCATGTGTGTGCATGGTGTCCATGGAAGCCAAAAGAGGGAACAGAATCTCTGAAAATTGGAGTTACAGGCTGTTGTAAACTGATGGAGGTTGTGGGAATTGAACCCGGGTCCTCGGGAAGAGCAAGTTCTCTTAACTGATGAACCATTGCCCCAGAAAATGAAACTGAGGGGGCTGGAGAGATGGCTCAGTGGTTAAGAGCATTGCCTGCTCTTCCAAAGGTCCTGAGTTCAATTCCCGGCAACCACATGGTGGCTCACAACCATCTGTAATGAGGTCTGGTGCCGTCTTCTGGCTTGCAGACATACACACAGACAGAATCTTGTATACATAATAAATAAATAAATATTTAAAAAAAAAAAGAAAATGAAACTGAGTATTTCATTACCTGAGGAATAGAAGATCTTATAAAGTGTTAGTGCAGTGATGAACAGTCTTATTGAGAGTAGGCTCGTTATTTCATATTAAATTTTAGTTTGATAATAGGTAGATTAACTGTGGACTTGGGAACTTTTATTTTGGGGTGTATTCTCACGACTATATTTTAATCAGTAATGAATAATTTTATATTAGTTTTGATGATAGAATAATTAGAGTTTTGTTTATTTCTAAATTCCACCTGTCTTATGGAGAGGACTATACAAATCAGTTGAAGATTGTCTTGTTAAAATCTCTTAATTCAGGGAGATAAACAATTGTTTAGTCTTAACATTTTTGGTGACTAACCATTTTGGAGACTTTAAACTCAGAAATAGTTTACTTTCTCACTTCTGAGTCAGATGCGAGGGATTGTTTGGTGACTATTTTAAAAAATGTGAGGATTATGTGTAAAAACCATTTTCGAAAGCTTCAGATCTCCAGGTTGTGTCTCTGTGTGTGCATTATAACATGGTGATTTCTTTTGGACAGCTCCAACACCAAGGCAACTAACAGAAAGGAGGTTTTTTTTTTTTTTTTGGCTTGCTGTTTTTAGAGTGGTGAGAATCCTTTGTGGTAGGGAATCTTGGGCAGCAGGTGACAGTCATGATGCAGAAGTAGCTAAAATTTATTGTGTATTACTGGGGCAGTTTGTTCAGATGAAGGACTTGGCATTCACTGGATTAATAAAATGTTTTCTTTCTTTGTGAATACCAGTACATCCCTTCTGCTAACCCGTCACCATTGTCAAGAATTACCGACAGTAACGTTCCTGTTGGTTCCCTTCTCCCTATAATATCAATGGTAGTTACTTACTCTCATTAACTTGTCATGCTACTGTTTTCCTGGTAACAAAGAGAACAGAGTATTTGTACTTAGAAATTTGGTTCTTTACGTGAACTAGACCAGATTCTGAAAATAGTCCAAAAAAAGTTACATGCTTATCCAATTTGGGCTGTAATTTCAAGTGTGTCAGTAAGATAATTGAATCACTCAAAGACCCAATTTTCCATGCCAATTAAAGGAGGGTTTTCCTTTGTCAAGAACTGGTTTGTGGAGTTTAATCCATGAGACAAGTTAATTATTCAATCTTTTCTTGTCTAGTTTCAGTGCATTAAGTGTTATAGTATCTTTGGGATATTATTGTTATTCGTTAAAACAGTTGTTAGAACTCCCACTCCCCAAATATATGTCTTTGTAAGTCCTTAAATTTTTATTAATACATTACCAGGCTAAATTCAACACTGTAGTTTCCAAACATATTCTTAAGTATTTGAAAAACTGATATATACTTTTAGATGAATAGTCAGCAATAGTTATCCCTTTAAAAGAATAATTATTTGTAAAATGCTGTTTTATGTAAAGTTAACTACTTTTAGCCTATTGATTATCACTATTATTTAAAATCATTGTATTGGTTGCTTGTTTGTGCACTTTGTCAGTGATAGGTATAATTATATTTATTGTGAGATTTTTTAATTAACATGAGCTAAATAGGATGTTCGCCTGTTGTGCTTGTGTTTTAATTTAAAATAATACTTCAAAATTTAAAAAAAAAATCAAGAATATTAAAAGTAACAGTTCTTGCCTAACCCTTAGCCAGATCATCAAATACTTTCTTTTTGGCCCATTTTCTTTACCCTTTCCATTTACTTGTTTATTCTGTCTGATGCCATTTGAAAATAAAGAATAACACTTTCTAAATACTCTAGTGTGTAGCCACTAAGTACAGGGTTCATAGTAAAGTTGTCATAGTAAAGTCATATCAAATACATTGCGTCCTATAGACTTTAGTATGCAGCTACTAAGCATAGGGTTTATATTGCATAGTGTAGTTACATCAATTACACCACTTTGTAAATATTTCAACAGAGAGTCACTAAGCACATGAGTTCATATTGTCACAGGACCATTATCTACTTTGGAAAGTTTACCAGTGATACCATACTGCCTAATCCCAAATTCAAATACAGTGGGTGACAATCCTTCTGATGATGTAGTTGATAGGAAATGTTCTATTCTGGGACCCCATCCAATAATCATGACTAGATGGAATGGATATTTAGCTCTAATGTTCTGTAAGTGGAGCCACCAACAGAGGAAACTCAGTCTTTTACAACTTTTTTTTTCTTGAACCTGGCACTTTGTGAGTATACCTTGCAGTCAGTTCTTTTATAAAATTGCTTTTTATTATAGGTTTATGTAATATTCTTATTAATTTGACTTTGGCAATATGCCTATTTTCCTTTGAAGTTCACTTATAGGGAGATGTTTAAATACTATGTGAATATCCATTTTTTAAAATCATGCACTTACTCGTTTTAATGTTCCCTGAGTGGTTTTTCTTTGTAATTATGTATTAGTGGTCATAGGATAGTGAAGGACTTTCCGCAGTAATCATTCTGTTATCTGTTCACTGATTTCATTACTAGAATAGAGTTGTGTTGTGTGTGTTTTACTCTTTTGGTTTTTTTAGGGCCTGCCACCCAGCTACCAAATAAATCACACACGGAGATTTATTCTTAGCTATAAACTCGCGGCCTCAGCTCAGGTTGTTTCTTGCCAGCTTTCCTTAACTTAAATTATCCTGACATCTTTTCTCCTCTGGGCTTTTATCTTTCTCTACTTCTGTATACCTTTTTTTAGTTCTTCCTCTGTGTAGCTGGGTGGCTGGCTCCTGAAGTCCTCCTCTCCTTATTTTCTTTCTCCTCTTTCTCCTCCCAAATTTCTCCTATTTATACTTTCTGCCTGCCAGCCCCACCTATCCTTGATCCTACCTTGCTATTGGCCATTCATCTCTTTATTAGGCCATCAGGTGTTTTAGACAGGCACAATAACACAGCTTCACAGAGTTAAATGCAGTGCAAACAAGTGTCACACACCTGAAAATAATATTCCCCAACAGAGTTGTTTTTAAAAACATAGGCAACCAATTGCTGTCGGTTTTGGTTGCCCCCCCCCCCCCCATGTGTGCTTTTAAAAGCAGGCAAGGAGTACCAGGACACCCAAGAGAGATCTTTGTTGTATTGGGCCTAATATTTTGACCCTGGAGGTATATATGTCTTCTTTTATATGTAAAGGCCATCTTTCCGGAAAGAATTTTAATAGTTTGTTGCACAGAAGGAGATTGAGAGTAGATGACTTTTCTGAAGATCCCATTCCTCAGGTGATTTCAGCTTGAAATACTATGGCAAGTGCTTCTGTCAATTGTATGCCCCTCGTATGTCTATTTATGTAGCTTATGCATTGTAGATGTGTATACATATATTTTATGCATGCATATGAATTTATTTGTATAAAACTTGTTTTGAAATAGGGTCTCATTGTATAGCCAGACTACTTTTGAACTCCTGTTCTTTGTACAGCTTCCTGAGTACTAGGATTCCAAATGTGTGCTATCATATCCTCAAACTGAGTTTATTTATCTTCTGTGAAGTGTCTTCAAATCTTTGGCTTATTTAAAAAATATTTTTCTATTAGGTTGCACAAATTCTTTGTATAAGCTACTTATTTACATATATTTATTATGGAATATTCCCCCCCACACCAGGAAACTTAGTGAAGTTAAAAAAAATCAGTTTTAAAAAAACCTTCTGGTCCATGAGTTGTGTTGCAGATCTTCACTTGTCCCTGTTTGTAGTTGTTTTTTTTTTGTAAGAGTTTTTGCATGTTTCATTGCTCATAATAATATTTTCATTTAAATTTTTTTTTGACACAAATGCTCATTCTTACTAGGCTATCACTAGGTAGTCAAGGATGACCTTGAACTTCTGATCATCTTGCCTGTATCTCTCAAGTCCTGGACTTACGGGCAAAGACTACTGCCCTCAGTTTATGTAGTGTTGGGGTTCTAACCCAGGTCTCTATGCATGTTAGGCAAGCATTCTCAGCTGAACTACTTTTTTTTTTCTGTCAATAAGAAATTTATTTTTTTTTTAAAAAAAATCCAAATGCTGGCATTGTCCAGAAAATAACAGGTTTCGTTATAATTGTTATAAAGTTAAACTGTTGAAATATGTTCGCTGAAACATTTTGCTTGCATTAATGCTTTACATCTTGCATTTATATAAAAAATTCACACACAAATGAAAATGGAAAAACTGCTAATACCTGATTTCTGTTTTCCACTCTCAATCATATACTTAGGTACCTTTGACCTCATGGGGAAAATATCTAACATTTCAGAACTACTGATAACAGGAAGAACAGCAAAAAACTTTTTTTGAGAATGAAATGTTTAGTGGACTCTTAAGCACGTTCTCCGCATATGAGGCGTACTAGGTGGATATTTTTTGGCATAATTGTTACACATTTGGCATGGATAGCACACAGGTTGGTATCTTCAAAAAGGCCAACCAAATAGGCCTCACTTGCTGTGCTCTGGAAGTGCTGATCTGTTTTGAAGTCCTGAGCAATTTATCTCATCAGACTCTGGAAGGAAAGTTTACAAATCAGAAGTTCAGTGGATTTCTGATAGGGTCTGATTTCACGGAGTGCCACAGGACCAGGCCTGTAACGATGATTTTTCTTCACCCGTCCAGTAGAGGGCGCACTCTTGCGAGCGACTTTTGTAGCCAGTTTCCTGGGTGCTTTACCACCTTACAGGCATTCTGCTTACTTACTTACCCCCCTTCCTCCTTACTTACCCCCCTTCTCCTTCGGCTGGAGTTCGGCAAGCGAGAGGCGCTGCTGGCGTTAGAGAGTGGCCCGGCCACGGCTGCAAACACAATTCAGTTGAACTACTTCTGTAGCTTGTTAATAGAATTTGAAAATTTTTTTTCTAATTATTTCCTTCTAGAATATTTTAAGTAGCTTAATTTTAAAGGTTCATTTGTAGTGTTTTTAATTATGTATATGCATGTGAATACATGTGCCCACAGATGTTAGAGGCATCAAATTATCCTGGAACTGGAGTTACAGGTGGTTGTGAGCTGCTCAGTATGGTTCTTAGAATCAAACTTGGGTCCCATGGAAGAACAGTATGCGCTCTTAACTGCTGCGCCATTTCCCTAGCTCTTAAACAACTGATTTTTATATGTAGATGCTAATTTTAACACAGTTAAGCTCAGTTATTAGTTCTGAATTGATTTAGTACTGTAGTAAAAGGGCCACTCGTTAGTTCCCGGCTGCCCAGACTCAAAATAATCACACAGAAACTGTTTTAATTAAATCACTGTTTGGCCTTTTAGCTCTATCTTCTTATTGGCTAGCTCTTACATTTTGAATTACCCATTTCCGTTATTTTCTATTTTTCCACGAGGTTTGTGGTCTACCAGCATGGTTCTGGCTGGCAGCTCACATCTTTCTCCTCTGGCAATTATATGGTATCTCTCTGACTCTACCTTCTTTCTTCCCGCATTCAGTTTAGTTTTCTCCGCCTACCTCTATTCCACCCTGTGCAGGCTCCAAATAGCATCTTCATTAACCAATGGTATTCACAGCATACAGAGGGGAATCCCACATCATAGTACAGTTGATTTTGCAGTTTTTCTGCTTGTTATTTCTGTTTACAGAGATGTTCTTAGATATATAAAGTTGATATATAAACACTTTTTGATAATAAAGCATAAAGAATTTTCTTTTGAAGCAGTCTTTGATAGAGAATTTTGCCAGTTAATAAGGATGAATGTGGACTTGCACATTAATGAAATGGGTATGTTTGTTACTGTTTATATAAGACATTAAGTCTTGGCTAACTGTTTGATGCTGTAGGATGTAGAGCATCTTCAGCATTTCCAGCGATGATTGATATTCTGATTTGAATGTCAATGAAGTGTCTGAAGATGGAGGAGGAGTGCTAGAAGAGTCTAGTTCTGGCCAAGTTTAAATACAGCACTAAGTATTTTGTGAACCGAGAGTATCTTACAAAGGTTTTTAAAAGCAGGGCTGGAACTGATTAGACGTTTAATTGGAGAACTAACTGACAATCGCTGAGAGTGGAGAGATACTGGGCAGAGCAACCAAGAAAGAAGAAAAGCCTGAACTAGAGAAGAAAAGAGGTTGACCTTGAGATCCTGACAGATTTTGACTGTTTATTTGATTGGGGCAAGGGCAAGGTGCCACATGAAAGGAGAGGACTCAAGATAGCCTTACATCATCTTATTTTTTGAATGACAATCTCGTTTGGCTTTTTTTTTTTTTTAAAAAAAAGTGGTGTTAGGCTGTTTTGTTTGTATTAAAGAATTTAAATAGGTGTCTGTAGGTGGAGACTGCATGTCTTTTCCGGCCACCCAGTCCCGAACATAACCACACAGACACCATATTAATTATAGCAGTGCTTGGCCTCTTAGCACAGGCTTTTTATAAACTAGCTCTTACATCTTAAAATTAATCCATTCCTATTATTCTGGGTATCGCCACAAGACTGTGGCTTACTGGGTCAAGTTTCAATGTCTGTCTCCTTTGGCAGCTAGACGTCTCTTTGACTTCGCCTACTTTCTCTGTATATCTCTGTACGGATTTCCCACTTGACTTTATTCTGCCCTGCTATAGGCCCAAAACAGCTTCTTTATTAACCAGTGGTAATAAAACATATTCACAGCATACAGAGGGGAATCCCACATCAGATATCATTAAGTCATTGGCTATGAGATTGAACTGTTTCATGACCTTCTCCATAGGTAGGTGTGTGGCGTTCACTTTGCCCAAACCTCAGTGTTGGCACCATGGCCATCCAGCAGGACCTAGTCATCTTGTTGGACTCAGGTATGGTTTCAGGGACTCAGTTGTGCCAAAGACACCCTCATGCATTGCTTGGGAAGTCTTACAAGATTAGCTTTTCCCTTCCAGAAACCAAGAGAGAAGGCCAGCCAAATACTTGATCATATAGCCCAGCCCAACTCCCGGAACCCTGTCTTCTGGCACTCAACTCTTCCTGCAGTTTCTTGACAGTTAGTTTTAGACATTAGCTGTCAGCCTTTAAGCAGTAGTCCCCCCTCCCACCCCGCCTTTCCCCTTTGTCTCCCAAGCACTTGGCTGCCTCTTGTAGACTTTGGCGAAAGTAGTAAGCATTTCCTGCATTATTAGAACTGTATAAATCTTACTGCTTTTTTAAAAAAAAGTATTTATTTTTATTATGTATACAGTGTTCTGCCTACCTATATTCCTGGCACCATATAGGCAGATCTTATAGGCAGGTCTCAGAAGAGGGTACCAGATCTTATTACAGGTGGTTGTGAGTCAACTGTGGTTGCTGGGAATTGAACTCAGGACCTCTGGAAGAGCAGCCAGTGCTCTTAACCTCTGAGCCATATCTCTAGCCCTTTTTTTTTTTTTTTTAAGTTTTAAGAGCTCTTATTTTCTTGTGTTGATTCCCCTCTCCCCCATGACCTTCAGGGATAAAAGGTGTTTGTTTGTTTGTTTGTTTGTTTTGGCAGACACTTACTTGTTTTCAAATTTTCTAATCTTTTTGTTATCTGCTATATTATTTTGCTATGACTGCCATAACAAATTCCTATAGACAGGTGTCTTAGCCAAAGGAACTCCTTTGTTCACTGTTCTGCATTCTGCACGCTAGGAGTCCCAGGACACGATATGGCCAGGCCATGTTTAGCTGGAGTCTCTTCCTTCCTTGCCTTCAGGTGCTGTCTTCCAGTATTCCCACATGGTCTTCACTTGGTGTGTTTCCCGAATGCTTCTTTCAGACACTGGTCATGCTGGATTACAGAACCCCAACACCTCATTGTATCGTTTTTACTTTCAAGTCTCTTGTTTCCTAGGTCACAGCTGAGGTACCTGGTTTAAGACTTCAGTGTCTTAAGTGTGAGTGATGGATATGGGAAGGACATAGTTCAGCGCATCTACTGCCTGCAGTGCATTTGTCTTCCATCTCTCTCTTCCATATTTTTCGTGATTTGTTGCTTATATTTTAGAATGAGACTGTTGACACTGACTGAATTTAGTTTGTGCATGGATAGTTTACATGTATGTTACTTGTGCTAGCTGGTGACATGTCCGTGCAGGATTTTTTTTTGTTTTTGTGTTTCTCCTGAGTGGAATGGGCTCTTACACCAGGAGCAGTGCTGTAAGAACAGGAGGTAGGGATGTTTAAGGATTCCACTTTACTGCCCTGGTTCCCTCTGATCCCTCTTTTCAACTTGCTTTGACCCTCCCACACCCATTATGTGACTTATGAAACTAAAATTCTGATCTACCTGACTGTGTAGAGTGAAAGAAGGAACCAGAGTCCAGCTTCCTGGTCTGTAATCATGCAGATAACTAGCAAGGTTTTGCGTTTGCCTGTGAGACTGGTCCCCACCTTCTGAATCTTCTGAATCCCTGGGTCTTTGGGGAAGGCAGGGTTTATTAGTTGCCTCCCATATGCCATGTTTCCAAAGATTATCTATGTAATCTGTATAATAACTTTATGGAATGGATTCTACCATTACCTTTATTTTGCATGCAAAAAAGCCACTAAATTCGAGCAGAATTTATAAATCTGAGTATACAGGATTTGAGCATACCTCTACTTGACTTCCCAATGTGCATTTTTATTCATGCTACCTTCCTTAGTAGTAAGGAAATATGTGTTTCTGCCCATAAATCTATGCCATTGGTTTTCAGAAAGTATTGGTAATTCATATGAGGACATTTGTATTATGAGTTGTATGTATATGTATCTAGTATATAATAATTCAAAATGAAGTAAATTTCTACACTTATTTGAATTTTTTTTTTTTCAGGACAGGGTTTCTCTGTAGCTTTGGAGCCTGTCCTGGAACTAGCTCTTGTAGACCAGGTTGGCCTCAAACTCACAGAGATTCACTTGCCTCTGCCTTCTGAGTGCTGGAATTAAAGGTATGTGCCACCACTACCCAGTTATAAATGTATTTTAATCACAACTAGAGTATGTTTCTTAGAAAACTTTGAGAGTAGAACAATAGAATGATTTTATGTGTGTATTTGAGATTCTATTGTGTAGGCCTATATGCAGTAACAACATGTTGAAAACATTTGGAATGCCCTTTGTTTCTTTGAAATATTTTTCACAGTGCTAACAAGTGTCCACCATAAATTTCATCTTTAGTAAATGTTTACAGATACACTGAATAACCGAACCAATAAAAACTTCACAAATGTAGTGGATGAATACTTTTTATGTGTTAGTACCAACTGTCAAACATCTGTATGCTTGTAGTTAGTATTATCTCAATTGACATCTTCCTTTCTTTTAACAGGTTGCTTCTATAACTGGATCTCGTGTTTGCTGCATAAAGCACAATGTCTCGGTCCCGGCAGCCTCCGCTTGTGACAGGCATCTCTCCAAATGAAGGAATACCTTGGACCAAGGTCACAATCAGAGGGGAGAACCTGGGTACTGGTCCCACTGACCTTATAGGTAAGGGCATGGCCTCCAATGTATTATGGCAAGCTGGGTTTTATTTTGAATTGTTAAGGTAGGATACATAGTTTTCAAGTAGTGATCTCTATAAAATGACCTGAATAAAAACAATTTTTTTAATTATCTCTAGGCTGTCTTTCTCCAAGTCCTTTGGAAAATTTGTCATGGCTGAGATTTCTTCCCACTCCTTCAACTTGGCGTGCTTATTTTGCTAATGATGAAAGCTAAATGCTGGTTTTGAAAATAGAAGTGATTGTTGAATAGTGGGGCTAGAGGGCAAATTTAAAATATAATTTTATGATCAATTATATGAACTACAAAATAGGGTGTAGAGGTATATTTCCAGCACATGCTGTTGGAGACTGCCCTAATCTTTCACATGAGTTCATTCTAGACTTGACATTCTTTCGCCTGATTTCGTTACTGCCAGAGACCCAGTTAGTCTGAGCTGGAACCGCCTTCCTGTGCTGGCTGCTGGGGACTAGTTTTTGACTATCCAGGAAATGTTTGCTTTATAGAGAAAGCAAATTGAAGTATAGCATTGTAGTTTATAATTGAGGTTTGTGCTTCCCAGATAATCATCTTTGCTCATGTTATTTAACTGTATTACGTCCAGTTTCCCCTTTTTGATAATTTTTGATAGTTAGGAAACATCTCTTAAGTTTATTTTCCTGAAGATGAGTGAGTGAAGAGGATGGCCCTGGTCTTTGTTCCTCCCTACCAGTTGCTGGGATTGTAGGCAGACACAACCATGCTTGATGTGTGCTGTGCTGGGCATCAGACCTAGGGTTTTACATATGCTAGGCAAGCCTTCTACCGAAGGAGCCACATTCTGACCCAGAGACTGCCATGTCTAATTCAATGTCTTGGCTTTTGACGTAGTTCAGTCCAGTTGTTTCTTTATCTATGTTGGGGGGAAACCCTTGGAATTCATGAAAACATACCATATAGATGGAATTCATTTCTAAGATTGTAACCTCTAAGTGTCAAAATATGAGAGTCAGCAGTCTCTGTACATTTTAATCTTGCTTTAGCTTTGGATGATGCTATTTTTATTTGACCAAGTGAATATTACTTTCATAACCTTGCTAGTTTACCTTTCAACCTGTCTCATCTGTTGCCAATAAACCGTTTTAAAAAAATAACATGCTCAACTTGATAAATAATTTCTGTGTTTTTAACTGAGGTGACACCTGTGTTAGTCAAGTTACTTTTTAAAACCTGAGACTAATCCAGGAAGGGCAGTGTGCTCCTTTGAACCCAGCACATGGAGTCAGAGGAGGCAGATAGATCTCTGTGAGGTTGAGCTCAGCCTGGTCAATATGGAGTTCCAGGCCAGTCAGCACAACACAGTGTGACCCTGTCTCAACAAACAGTGTCAACACAAAAATTCCAGTGCCTCCCAAACAATAATGATGCTATTATATTTCGTGAGGTAGATTTGTTAGAAAATTGTAAGTAAGCAATAAAGGGGGGTGCTTAAGCAATTAAAAAAAGGTCATATGATCTTATTTTCATTTTCAAAATAATATTGTTGTGATATTCAAAATAATTGTTGGAATCTATATCTAAATTATATGCTGATTACTAATCTTTTGGAGTAAAATGCAGATCAGATACTTAACTCAGAGGAACCATGAAAACAGATATGAGCAGATGCATATTTGTATATTTTTGCTCTTGATTAAGGTATTGTGTTTATACAGCTCATTTAAAAATGTAATATATAATGAAGAAATATAAGTTAATAGGTAATCATCTATAATAGTCAAGCTTGTCATCATGTTAGTTAGATTTTTTAGATGTATAGAGATATATTTCAGTTAGATAGGTATTCTTCAAATCTTTCAGAGACCTTCAGAATATGACATTTAAAATGTTTTAAGAACTCAGGACTTTTCATCACAGTTAGACACATCTGCTCCTGGTAACACCAATCTATTTCAAGGGTTTGATGGGCATCAAAGAGGCTCTTTATGGAGTTTGTTAACCATATGGGCAAGAAACTGCTCTTGCCTGGACTGCTTGATGCTGTGCTATATGAACTGAACAAGCAGAACCTACAGAGAAATAACTACTGAACTTGCCTAAAGGTGAAATGATCTTTTGAGGTTCCTGCTTCATGAAAGAGTCAGCTAGACATTCTGCAGGATACAGAAGAAAGTGACTGACAAGCTGCCAATATAGGTAGAACTGTCTTTGAAATTTTCTGCTACATGGAAAAAGTCTGCTGGATACTTTGGGTCTGTGGGCTGAAGATGGATGCCCCAATGATACAGAAGAACTTTGGGTGACTGTCTAGGCAGTGAGATATCTCTGTCAATTCTAGAGTTTTGGAAGTTGCTTCCAATATACTTCCTGTTTACTTAGATAATATTGTATCCTTCTGGAATCTTTGATGGAGTTGAAGAATAGATATAGTTTTCCTCAGTCATGATAAAAGATAAAATAGATATAAATATTATAACTATAATTCTTGCTTGATAACTGTTTTGTTATATGTAATTTTACTATGTTAAAGTTAAAACCTTCCTTTTTATTTAGACACAAAAGGGGAGGTAATATAGGATTCCCCTCTGTATGCTGTGAATACCATTGGTTAATAAACTGTCTAGGCCTGTGATAGGGTAGAGTAGAGCTAGGCAGGGAAAAACTAAGCTGAATGCTTGGAGAAGGAAGGTGAAGTCAAAGAGAAGCTATTAACCCCACTGGAGACAGAAGCCACAGCCTTGTGGCGATACACAGATTAATAGAAATGGGTTAAATTAATATGTAAGTGCTAGCCAATAAGAATCTAGAGCTAATGGGCCAGGCAGTGATTTGATTAGTATAGTTTCTGTGTGGTTATTTCAGGAGTCTGGGCAGCCAGGAAACAAGCAGTCTCTCATACAACACATAGCCTTGTTCTTGATTAGTTGATGCTACCTGTGCCTTCCTGGATATCATTCATATTTACTCATATGAAATGCATCTGAAATATTATCTTATGAATGTGCTCTACCATGCAGTGTTTTTACACTATACTCTGGCATTTAGAGTTGAGTCATTCTCTCTCAGACAACCCGGCTGGGTATTGCTTTCAGTCGTGTCTGGGCTTGGCGGTGGGTCTGAGTTGGAGGTGCTGTTTACTAGGAAGCTGAATGATGGAAGGCTAGTATAGTGATGTTTTGATAGGAAACTACTAAAACAGTTAAACTACCACTGAGAAGCTGCTGTGGCGATGTAAGAACTGAGAGTAATCCAGTAGTGGCCTAGAGTGTGTCTGAGTCACTGTGCTCTAGCCTTTGCTTGAAATAATTCAGTACCTGGTTCAGTGCATTCAATAAGGCTGCGTGTAACTGAGCACTGGAAACAGCACATTCAGATTCCTTTTAGAAGATGGAGAAATTTAGAATCCTTTAGGAAATGATCCCCAAATGTCTCGTGTGTTTTATCCCTTGTGTCAATAACTTAAACTTCTAATGGTAGCAGTGCTTCCTGGAAACAATTGGAGACTTATAGTCTAAGTAATCTGAGTGCCTGGGCTTAGCTGTAGCCCATAATTGTTCTAATTCTGCTGAGAGTGGAAAAAGCTTAATACAGTCTGCAAGCAGTCTTAGGTGTCAGAGAGAAGACCAGGGAGATGGAGTGGGGTGGTGGTGACTCAGCAGGCGCCGTGTGTGCAGGGCACTGTCCGCCGGGCACTGTCCTCGACGTCTGTTGGAACAGGAAATGTGCTGGATTTGTTTGTTTGTTTTTAATTTATTGTATGCGTGCTTTTACTTCCAGGCTTGACAATTTGTGGCCATAATTGCCTCCTCACGGCAGAATGGATGTCTGCAAGTAAAATCGTGTGTCGCGTGGGCCAAGCCAAAAATGACAAAGGAGACATTATTGTCACAACTAAGTCAGGGGGCAAAGGAACCTCAACAGTATCTTTTAAACTACTGAAACCTGAAAAAATAGGTAAGACTCGTGGTGACTTTATCCCAAGGAAAGCATACTGGCTTTCAGAGGCTAACCCTGGTGGATTTTATCAAACCCACTTAACTCTCATGCTCGTTGCATGTAGTGGGTTCATTTTGGCGACACCAGGATGTGTCTCTTAGTTTACATTACCCCTTGTTCTTGACTGTTTTCTCTGTCATGGTAGAGCCTCAGGGGCTGACTCTGAACTCACTGTGCTGCATTCTTTTGAAAGGCAGTTTACTAAGTGACTGTCAGTGTAAAGATGACAGTTGGAAGATATGTCTTACAACTGATAAAATCTGTCTCCGTGGCAGTTTGGGATACTAGTTCTGGCTTCTTGATCTTGAACATATGACATTGCTTTAACACTGTTATACCATTAAGATTCAAAGTGGAGTAGCTCCTAGGTTGACGAAATCTGTGGTGGTTTTATCTAAGTGATACCCACCCCCATTGTATCCTTCCAGGGCGAGATGAAATGTAGCCTTCTGGCTTCCCATATTCTTCCTTGTCTGCTGTCCTCCAGAGTTATACTTCCTCTTTTTGTGTGTATTTACCTCCTGCTACCTTGCAGTGCTTAAGATTTGGGTCTGAGGAACCAGACTCTTCAAATTCTGAACCTAGGCTCTTACCACCAATAGCTATGTAGCTACAATGCCTGTTTTCTAGTAATAAAAGCAGAATGGTAACATCTCCCTCATAGGATTAGATAAGTTAGAACATAAATGTAAAGTGTCTAGCACCTTTAAAGAACAAATTAGTAATTTTAAAATTATCCCCAGGGATACTTTATCTCTCATTGTGATCCTGTAAGATCTTGCATAAATATACAAATATAAGATTTTTATGTAATATAAGAATGGCAATCCTAATTAATTTCAGGCAGTGCTCTCCCTATCGAGAAAAATAAAGTTTTGTTATCTATCTCAGATCATAAAGCTTTCCTACAGTGCTGTCCTCCACAAATCCTTATTACACTTTTGAGGTGAAAATGTATAGAGGAAAACTAAAATTGGAATTAGTATATGATATATGCATGTATATGTAGAAATATAACTCCATTTATATATATTTATATATTTTCACATCTTCAGATAGTGAACTCTGAAATCAAAGCATGAGCCTGTTTTACAGCTTTCTGGAGGAAGTGTAAACATACTGATAATATTCATATTTTATAATACTTGGTTATATAGCACATGAAGAGAATTTAGGTGAAAGTATAGTTTTATTCTGAATGCCCAGCCCAGGGTAGAATGGCTCATAGAAGATGCAGTGCAGAATTAATGACATAGCCCCAGAGTTTTGGATTCTGTACAAGCTTGTACGGAGCCCTTGTTAATGTCTGCTATGGCTGCTGAAGTAGTCTATTTGCAGAGTCCTGTTGTTGCCTGGTGTTCAGACAACCTTCTTCTGGGAAGCCTCAGCCTCTGCCACTCCCAGTGCAGCCAGCAGGGCACACTTGCTCCAAGCTGCTTGGTTCTTCAGTCCTACTCTGTTGCAGCCCAGAATCCCTGGAGTGGTAATGGGCATGTGCTGTCAGAGTTTGGTCCATGAAGGAGAATGCTGTCTGTAGAGTTTGTGTCTTGTTTGTAGGTCTCTACCTAGTCAGCTTTCCCTGAATAATCTAGCCATTTCCATTATGAAAGCCATGCACTCTTTAGCCAGTTTAATGGTTAGATATTTTGGTTGGATTTACCAAATCAGCCTGTGCTAGGGAAAAATGCTTTCTCTCTCTCTCTCTCGTTCTCTCTCTCTCTCTCTCTCTCTCTCTCTCTCTCTCTTTCATTCTTAGTACTGTTATAAGACATTTTTAGCATTCTAAATAATGAACAGTATGAGAAATAACAACGGCTGTTCTGTCTTGGCATAATTATTCATGAAAACATGTCAATGCTTAGAGAGATAAAAGGCATTTCCTGTGAGTTTTCAAAAGCAAAAATACAAGTCATACATGTATAACAGCTTCTCTGCAGTTATATTCAAGGAGCTCTCTGTGGCATTGATGCTTAGCTTAAATCTTTTGTGTCTTGAGATTTCTTAGCCAAAACCTGGCATAGTTCAGAGTATTTTCTTGAATAAAAAGTTATTATAAGTCATATCATTGTATCTTATATTTAACTTTTCAAATGTTAATATCAACTTAATCAATATTTAACAGTGTATAAATAATTTTATATGATATTTGGAAAATATCTTGTTTTTTTTTTCAAAATGCTTTGTGAGTTACTTAAAATCACCTCCATTGAATAATGTATAGTGACTCTGTAAACCAAAAGATGGTACTTCACCATTCTATAGAATCTTAGTATTTTTTATAAAGTCACCAGACATGAAAAGATTTGAACTGTAGTACCCTTAAACCTCTTAAAAAACAAAGGTGAGATATAATGGTGCCTGGAGAATTTTTATCTTATTGAATGCATACTTCTCATCTTTACAGGCATTTTAGACCAGTCTGCAGTGTGGGTGGATGAAATGAATTATTATGATATGCGGACTGACAGAAATAAGGGGATTCCTCCCTTGTCACTCCGTCCTGCAAATCCACTTGGCATTGAAATTGAAAAGTGAGTACCGTCTGGCTCTTTAATTTCCAGCTTCTAAGAGTTTTATGTTCTTTCAGTGGAGGGAGTCAACTTCAGGGATGTCCTGAAGAGCACAGGTGAAGGCTGCTCAGCCAAATGGATTACTTATTATTTATTTTCATTATTAATTGTTATTTCTGTAATAAAATTTATGAAGTTTGATGAGTTTTGCTTCAGTGTTTTTATTAGATAAATCTTTGACAAAATTATTTTGTTTTGGGGGAGTTTACATTTTGTGATTACAAAATGTTTAAAAATTTTAATAGCTACTAACCTTTAGTTTGGAGTTTTGGTTGTGGAATGTAGGGCCCTTACATGCTAGTCAACTATTCTCCTACGGAGCTTCCCCTTTTTGTAATACACTCTTAATTAATGATATGAGCATTAGTACATTTTAGTATGTTTAGATGATATTTAAATCAATAGCATTATGATCTGTTGATTTTTCTTCACTTTCCTAGTAATATTTTAGAATAATTTGGTTCAAAGGGATCTTTTGTTTTTGATAAATCCTGCCTAAAGTTTTGTTTAACCCAGACATATTTTACTTTGTCAGAATTGTGCCAGTTGAGTGATAACCATGTTTTATAAGTGAAAGCTTTATATATAAAAGCTTTGTTTTAATGATTCCAAGTATGGCCACTGTCTTAGTCGGTGTGTCTATTGCTGTGAAGAGATGCCATGACCATGGCAGCTCTTATAGTGGAAAGCACTTAATTGGAATGGCTTGCTTACAATTTCAGAAGTTCAATCCATTGTCATCATGGCAGGGAGTATGGCAGCATGCAGACAGACATGGTGCTGGAGGAGGAGCTGAGAGTCCTACATCTTGCAGGCAGCAGGAAATTAACTAACAGTCACTAATATTCCTTAAAAAATAATGCGTGCCCCGGCGGGCTCGCAAAGCAACTGCTAGTTCAGAGACAGCTGTGGGTCCCTGCAAGGTCCCCAGAGGCCATGTCAGAGCAGGCGGGAGTGCGTCCTGGGCAGGCTGGCAGGAGACAAAGACATGGACATGTAAAATGAGATTGAAATATTTATTCGGAGTTATGGAGGAAAAGGGAGGGGGGGCAGAGAAAGAAAGGGAGAAGGAGAGGGAGAGAAAGAAAGACAGAAACAGAGAAAAGGAGAGAGAAAAAAGACAGAAAACACGTGTGCACACACCAAGAGAGGGAACAGAAAAGAAAGAAAGATGGCGATGAGAGGTCAGAAGTCACTGTGAGTGGGTGTGGCTTGCCCTTAAAGGGAACAGACCAAAAGGAATAACAGTCACACTGAGCAAAGCTTGAGCAAAAGAGACTTCCAAGTCTGTCCCCACAGTGACACTTCCTCCAACAATAGTGACACTCCCTATGAGCTTATGGGGACCAACCACATTCAAACTACCACAACTACCTTTATCCATGTATCTTAAGCAAGTTATATAACATTCCTTTTATCTAATCTATTTTCTGGCCTTAGCGATTCTGCTTGCAGAGTTACATGATGAGTGTTAACCTAATGAAGAGTTATGGAAGATAGCAAGTTCTGTTAGTGCCTTAACCATATCCGTGCTTAGGTTTTCTCAGAATGGGGAACATTTTTATTAATCTTTAAATATGGAACCTTCATGCCTACACTTGAAGATCATGAATACTTTTGAGGGGAAACTGCATTATCACTGCTGTAATGTTCCTTCTCAACTGTTTATTGAAAAGCCCTGGCATTTAGCTGCTTTTAGTGAGCTTGGGATGTCTAGGTAGTATATTTAAAACCATGGAATATTCTAGAATTTCAAGAGTTTCAGTATCCTGTAAATTAAGATTGAGACAGTTCAAAATAGAAGGGTAAAGGGCAGGTATGTTTGAGCTCGCTGACAGACATGGATAGGTAGGCTTGTGGTTGACAGAAAACCCGTGAAGGGCTAGCATCAAAACTCCTGAAACTGGGAGGGAGAAATCATTCTGACTGATTTTCCTTTGCCAAGAAGCCATTCACAGATGAAAGACTGAGGGGATGCACATGCTCTGTAGGAGAGTCAGGAAGACAGCCATCCTAGTAAGGGTTTCTGTTGCTGTGGTGGAACACTATGACCAGCCGGGCGGTGGTGGTGGTACATGTGCCTTCCATCCCACCACTAGGGAGGCAGAGGCAGGTGGATCTCTGTGAGTTTGAGGACAGCCTGGTCTACAAGAGCTAGTTCTGGAACATTTAGGACTTTTTCACAGAGAAACCCTGTCTTGAAAAACCCAAAGAAAACCAAAACCTAACAATGACCAAAACTTCCCACTATGACCAAAAGCAACTAGGGGAGGAAAGGTAAACCCTTTCCTTATATTATTTCCTTATTTTATCTTAAAACTCTCAGGTCACATTCCATCACTGAGAAGTCAGGGCAGGAGCTTTGAGGCAGGAACTGAGGGAAAGGCCACGGAGGAGTGCTACATGCTCCACAGTTGGCTCAGCCTGTTTCTTACAACGCCCAGGACCTCCAGCTGTTGTGTGACAAAACTTTCCCTGGGAAGTCACAACAGCCATGTGTATTCACCCCAGATAGGAATCCCATGACAGACCAAAGTGTAGATACTGCCAAAGTCCAGCTGGTGAACCAATGAGTTTTATTCGGGTTTCTTACAGGAGCTGAAATGACTCAAAGACCACCCCAGCATGGCTAATAGCTCACAAAGCTGGGAACCTGGAACACACTACACAGCCTGTAGCTAAACATTTCTTTACCTTTCTCTTAAGAGGTAGTGTGTCCCAGGGCTTACTACTGAGGGCTTAAGATCAGACCTTTCCCTGGGCTGTTGTAGGGCTGTACATGAGGACAGGCGAGCACTGCAGCCACAGTGGGTTGTGTGCTTGCTGTCGCCATGATACTTTGCTTGTCCCTGACTCATGGCAAACAGCTTTTAAATAAATACTGTAGTTTCCTCCTCTTGTCATGATAAAATACCTGACTAAAAGCAGCTTAGGGAAGAAAGAGTTTATTTGACTTGAGATTCCAGATTACAGTATTATTGTGGGGAAGTCAAGGTAGGAACTGAAAACATGAAGGGTTTTAGTAGGCTCAAGCATGGCAACCATGGCTTTGGCAGATCTTGCCCTCCCCCCTTCTTCCTTATTAAACTTTAGCTTACATTCCTAAAGCTAGCCACTAAAGTATATTTCCTTATTTAGACGTTTTCTTATTCCAAACTCATTCCCGAGACTGGCCACCAAGGTCTAGGTTTCAAAGTATTGAAGTCCAACAATCAAGAGCCCCTTTTGGCTGGCATTTCCAATCAAAACAAATCAACTCATTCTAACATGAGTTTCCCTTTTTCTCTTTATAAACTGCCATTTGCCTATGAGACATGCCTGTCTCTATTTTATTCAGAGGCAGTCTTTAGTTTCTCCAGGGCAATATCCCTTATCCCTCTCCCTTGCTCCTTTTCTCTCCTCTCACTTGTCTCCTAGTCCCTGTCTTTGCCATTGTAGGGCAAATAAATCTCCTTTGCACTGAGAACTTGGTCTTCGTGTGTCCTGTGCCAGTTCTGTCCCTTTCACATCACATCTGCAGTCACGTGCAAAATAAGAGTGCCCTTTGCTCAGCACTTAGTTCACTCTTAAGCAATCCAGGGCTCAGCTCTCGACTTGGCACCACCCACATTCAGAGTGGTTCTTCTCACCTCCATTAACAATCAAGACAACCCCCACAGACATGCCCTGCACTGTAGCTCATGTAGGTGTCCAGTGGTAGGGTGAGGAGTCCCGTGGTGCTGTGCCTGGTACTTAGACCATGAAAACGCAAGTGAGAATAGCATAATAGAGGCTCCTTGTTGCTCTCGGTATGAGTCGGGTTTTAATATATTTTATTGGTGGACCCAGCATGCATGTCGTCATCTTTCAGCCCACAAGTTTTTAACAACTGGCATTTATTGGTGTCTTTGACTCTTAAAGTCCTTCATGTCCCTAAATTTTTAACTGATGTTTTTGCACACATGGTGCCATGGCACTTATAAAAATGTTACTAATTGCTCTGAAAAGGTAACTTCACTTTGACTAAGACGAGGCTTTGCTTGTAAAAGGTCTGTATTTCTGATTTACTGTGCTGGTTGTCACAAATATGTATGTTCTTGCCTGGTTTCAGTTATAATGGATACAAATTATTTAAACTGTAAAAGAAGATAAAAATAGGCTCCTAGTAAGTGAAGGTCTTCACTAGATTTTGTTTCTTGAAAGTCCTGTTTGCCCGAGGAGAATGTTTATCAAGAAAGTCTTGGCCGTAGTGCTTGTATGAAGTGAGGGCAGAGAAGTAGAGCATGGCTCCTGTTTTCCATCTCTGCTCATTTTGTGAGTGAACTCTTACTGGGGATGATGTCTAGAGCAGTCAGTTGATGCTCTTCAGTTGATAGGTATTATCTGTTTCATTTCTACATGGCTTTTAGGCAGTGTACATCTGGCTCTGTTCTTATCGGGTCAGATTTTCAACAGGAAGAAACAGTGACCAGTTTTCCCAGTACATGTAGAAAGCCACCTTTACCAAACAGACAGGGTGACAGCAGAGTCATTCCTAAGAACATAGAAGGGTCTCTATTTTACTGTTAGAATTCTGTAGAAGTAGATTTGTGGGCTACGGTACAGTGCCTAAGTCCAGAAACTATGCTAGATTTTAAATAAAACTTTTCCTATAATATTTTAATGTAACATTGTAAATTATGTTGTTGAAATTTAAAGCCGAGAGAAATGAGTATAGCCCATGCCATCAAAGAACAGCGCCAGTCCATTAACTGTCCGCAGCCGTCCTGCCCTCCATGACCGCATCAAGGGAAGCACAGCGTGTTTTCTAGTATGTGTTTTATGAACATTCCTCTTATGTATCTGTCTACTCGGTCAGATGCCCGAGGCTGACCCTTTCTAGAGGGATGAAGTCTGAGTTTACACTGCCATCTAACGGAAACAGTTTTAGGGGCAGCAAGAGTGGTTAGTGACTGAACTGCTTTGATTCCTTCTGAAAACAGTTTTCCTGGTGCCTGGCAGTCTCTCCCTCCCAGCTGTTGGGGGAGACTGCACTAGGAGTCTGCAGCCTCACCTTGCTCCCTCTCCCAGGCTCGCTGAGCGGTCCCTTAACTTGGAAGACTTACCTCTTGTATCCTGTTACTCTGTGGGCTGTGACTGCATGCCTCATGGGCTAGCCTAACACAGTGCTCCTTCCTTCCTTTTGCTGTGGGGGAACATCATGGACATTTTAAATCCTCATAGATCTGTGGCAGTGCTTTTATTTCAGATCTAGGACTGGTTCCAGGCAAAACCATGACTAATGACTTGTATCCTCTCAGTATGTTTATTCGTTTGTAAAAATGAGAATATTTAATTTACTTGCTACATTTAGAGTAAAACAGTGGTATTTACGAAAATAATCTGTAAAATATAAAAAAACTAGAAGAAAATTTAATAGCTAATAACATTTTTGAGCAGCTTTTCATAATTACCATCAACTTTAATTCTCAAACTATTGCCAAGAAGAAGCTGTTGTGATCCTCAGGAATAAATGGAATCTGGAGAGGTTAGCTGCTTTCCCCGGCATACAGGTGGAGAGATTTTGGAGCCTGTGATCTCATGGGTACCTGATAGGGACCCCTGTGAGTCAGCTGCCCTTCGTAGCCCATTTCTGTTTCATTTTCCAGATATACATGTAAAAGTTAGTATATTTAGCTTATTTTTAAGACTATATTAGTAAATCAAGATGCCTTCAGCTATATATAGCAAAAAATGTCAATTCATTTGTTTTAAACCAAAAGGACATGTCTTTCTCTTCTATACAGTTCAGAAGTGACATTCTTAGTCATGTCAGTGAGGTTTCTGATAAACCAGTTTCCTTTATAATTATAAAATATTTTTCACAATTCTTGGTTTGGAAACTTGGCATAATGATTCTCAGGGACAGAAGAACGGCTATTTCTTCTAGGTTCTCTTTAAAATTGAGACCGTTTCCAGAAAGACTTCCACCAGTCTTTCTCAGACATTACTGATCTGAGCCGGCCACCGAATAAAGGCCAAGAGGACAGCGATGTGTACTGGGCTTGCTGCAGTCCTTGTCCCCAGGGCAGATGCTCGTGCTGTGTGGAGTGTCTCCTAGGAGTGACAACCCAGCAGACATGAGTGTAAGGAGGAAGTGAATGAAGCTAAAGGCCTTAGATGCAGGCCCCGAAAGCATATGAAAACATACACGTGGCTTAAATAGGGTTCATTACCCAGTGAACAGAGTACAAGTCTCCTAGGCAGCACTGCTGAGGGCTTGAGAAGTCCCACCTTCCCTCTCCTTCCATCTTGCCTTAGTCCTGCACCTGGGTTTTTAGGGCAGAAGTGTCAGGTCATGTACCTAGTGGGTAGCCTTGGCTGCTCACCCTTTGAAGATACTAGCATCAGAAGCCCCCAGAACAACACATGGGACTGCTGTAAAGAAAGTGGAGTGCCGCTCTTAGAAAAGCCTGCATCGTGCTCCTGTCTGATGCCTTCCGCTCTTTTTGGTCCCCTTTCCTCTGTCAACCATGTGTCAATCTGTGTTGAATAAACCCAACTCTGCTTTGTAGTGTCTCATTCTGAGATTTTCTGTGTTGAAGGCAGGATCCAGTTTTACCTGAGTTAAGGTCTTTAAAAGTTTAAAAGAAGTTCTTAGGCTGCTGGAGGTAGCTGTGTCTCAGTTCCGGTTGCCTCTGACATGACTGCATTAGGAAGGACAGATAAAGGATTCCATTGATCTCAAATCATTTTCAGGTTACTGAAAGGCATGAGCTTTAGGTTTCAAAAGAAGCAGGGTTGGGGTAAGGAGCGAAAGATATGTATGGTTAGGCCTGGCCAAGGTGGGCTCTGAATGATTATTGTCTCTTTAGATTCTGTTTAGATTCTGCGAGGTTGTTGGACAAAGTTCTTGTCCTGTGAGTGGTCTAGTCTGCTTCCTAGAAGGTGACTACTTTTGTTCCAGGATGCATCTGCTGTCATAGGCATGTCATCTATTTGTCTGGGGGTGGTCTGTCCAAGGTAACTGCAGATTTAGGGTCAGGACGCCTCTGCTCTCATTTACCCTGTGGGCCCAAACCAGTTTCAACCCTCCCTCCCTCTCTCCCCCCTCCTTTCTTCCTTTCCTCCCTTCCTCCCTCCTTCCCTTCCTTCCTCAGAGATTCACCTGCCTTCTGATTGCTGGGTTTAAAGGCGACACGCCACCACATCTAGCCTGCAAAACCAGTTTTTAAGTGCCCATTATAGCCTACAGTGTGATACAGTAACTAACAGAGGAAAGAGAGTCTGTCACCATCTACCCACCCTGTAACAGTCAGCCTATCAACTATTGATTCTGCTTGGAAGAAGGAAGAAAAAGTATTACCTTGGGGTGAAGATGACACCTTGGTCATGGTGAGGTCCCTTAGTGTGTGTGAGCTGTGTATTTTAATACTTAGATATTAAGACTCCAGACATAAATCTAGAAATACTGGAACTGTCCATGTTTTCTCTTAGCATAGAGGTGTTTCTCATTGAATAAAATGTAAATGTCTATGAAGCGATATTCTGTTTTTGCCTTATAATTTGGCATGAGCAGTCCATCAGGGATGGGGAAGCGTTTTCAGAAAAGCGTTCTGCAAGAAGAAAAAGTACATGTAAACATGATATGTACCAGAGAATATAATCTGTCTGAAGCTCTGAAGCTCCTAGTGTGAGAACTGGAGTTGCAGAAATGAGCCTTAAGAGATAAGCAGGCTCAGTACAGGGAAACCCTTAAATGTGCAGCTGAGAATTTGAACTTCATTCTGCAAACAGGGAGGTGGGTCAGCAGGAAAGCTTGAAAATTGCTCGACTAGGGACAGGGTCCGATCAGAGTAGATACAGTGTGAACTTGTCCTGGAGAATAGCAAGCATCTGTTCACCTCAGATAGGACAAGGACAGGCCAGTGTTCACCTCAGACAGAACAATGACAGGTTAAAGAAATGATTCCACTTGCACTGGTTAATTTTAAATGTCAGCTTGCCACAACAAAGTTTACATGATAGGAAATCAGTCACAATATAGAAATTATATTCCATACTGTGTTCAAACATGTTCTTGATAGCTTATTGTGTATTATATACAGTCAGGCTTGTATTTTAATTTATTGTGTTGTATTTTGTGATGATAGTATCAGTTGTAACAGATTTTAACTCTTTTTCTCTCTAGAAGTAAACTTCCTCAGAAGGACTTAGAAGCGTTGTTTCATGGCATGAGTGCTGATTTTACAAGCGAGAATTTTTCAGCTGCGTGGTATCTTATAGAGAATCACTCCACCACCAGGTTAGTGGACTTCAGACCCTGAACTCTGAGGGCTTCAGACAATGGGCCTGTGCGGTAACCCTGACTTAAGTCTGGCCTTGCAGATGATGACAGAGCTGTAGGTTTGTGAGTTCTCTGGCTTTGGTGAGTCCCTAACAGTCTCAGTTTATCTGTCTCCTTGTTTGTAGAGTGTTAGAAGACTTTTCTTTTTCACCCCACCGTTTTATGTGTCATTATTTGTGCAGCTCTGGAACATTTGTAGTATTGGTAGGTGACCTAAGCAGATGCTTGTGACTGTCATGTGCTTCCTTACCAATCCCACACACTGGTAAGTTCTGTGTGAAATGTAGAACACAGAGCAAGCTTATTATTATGTGAAGATAAGGCCAGGGTTGGCTCTCTGAGTTCTTTTGTTCCTTTAGCATTTTCACTGTAAAGAGCTCACTTGTAACTTTTTTGCCAGATTGATTTAAAACACCAGTGTTAATGAAACCATTTAGATAAAGGAGTTACTTGTTACTTAAGATTTATATTCTTTATAAGACAATTAAAGTATATGTTAATATAATTTTACTCACTTACAGAGGTGAAACCCATTATTAGAAAATATGAGGAAAAGTTGGCTAATGCATAAATGAATTTGGTTTGATAATATTTTAAAGTAAATGCTGTAAGAGTCCATCTATGATTGTAGAAGTTAGCTTTAATTTTTCATTATGGACATGCTTTTCCTGTCATAACTCTGAATTGATGTGTTTGGTGTGTGGAGTTACTATGGTACTTAAAACAATATCAAGATTTTATTAACAGATTTGTCATCTCAAATGGAAATAAAATTTCTAAAATACAGAGTCCCATCTTTTCTTCTTCTCAGCTTTTGATAAAAGTAAAATGATATGGTCTTACTTATTGCTTTTTTACAAATTTGAAACAAGTATACACAGTAGTGGCTTTCATCATGCCGCCTCACACATGTATCACATGTGCTTTGTCTCTTGTTTGAACTGGGAGTCACCCACAGGCTTTGTGTAATTTTGTCATTAAGGACAGAGGACTGACTGTGCATTGAGGGTGAGATGATCCTTGTGCTCAGTGTTCCAGGACACTTGCATGAGTGAGTGGAAGACTCTGCCTTCAAACGACTGCCCCTTTGAACTGCTACCTGGGGCAGCTGGGTCTCCTGTCAGTAAAAGATACCCAGAACCTCTATCTGCCAAATCATGTATCTTGTATATCTACAGTTGTACTTACTTCTTAGGGACCTGGCATACTTGGAATTATTATCTGATGCTATAAGATTAGTTTTATATCTGTTGAGCATCACAATAAATAAAAGGTTTAAATCTAGATAAGAATTTGAAGTATTTTTGCTTTTACATGACTATTAATGTATATGCCTCACAGAACCTTTAGCATTCCTGTTGCTTTACACTTAATGGATTATCTTGTCAGAAATCTCAGGCAGTTGATTTCTTTTAATTCATTTCAGTTTTGAACAGCTCAAGATGGCAGTCACCAACCTCAAAAGGCAGGCCAATAAGAAGAGTGAGGGGAGTCTGGCCTATGTGAAGGGCGGCCTCAGTACCTTCTTTGAAGCTCAGGATGCTCTCTCAGGTAAGGAAACCCTGAGAACCATCTGCCGGGGCTTCCACTGTGGAAACCTGACACTGTGCTCCCTCGTGTTTATGGGGTGTGACATTCAGTCTGTATTTATAAAAGTAGAGGTTTAAAACGTTCCATAAATATTTGTTGCAGACTGGGCTGGAATCTCTTTGAAGGCCTGGTACTGTAAATATTTGTCTCGAAGGCTCTGTTGACCCATCTTACATGTGAAACAGGAGACCCCTGTTCCACTGCATGATGCTCAATCTTTGGGGCTGATAAGAAATTGAAACCTAATAGACAAAGTTCTAGTATTCTTAAAATCCTTTTACAGACATCACTCTTATTCATGTGCCTAATTCTAAAAATGTTCTCCATTCTGTGTTTTATTTGGGACGGACTGATGATAATGTGGCACTATTTTTAGCCATTACCCCAGAGGCCCCCAACATACATACAACAACTGCCCACTCTCTGACATCATCAATCATTACAAGAAAGGAAAATTATGTTATCAGAGCTTTAGATTTCACAATGGAAGACATTGAGTAGGTTTCTAAAAACTGCTTTTAGTTCATTTGTTTATAGTGAGAAATATATATATATATATATATACACACACACATACACACATACATACATATATACATACAATTTACCATAATTCCTTTTGAAAATGAAGGTCCCTATAACTAAGTACTTATATGCTATTAATAATTAATTTGTGTGTGTGTGTGTGTGTGTACTATAGCATTTGTGTGGAGGTCAGAAAACCACTTGTATAAGTCAATTCTCCTTCCATCATATTGTGCCTGGGGATGAAACTTGGTTTTGAGGCTTGGTGGTAAAGCGTGTTTGCCCACTGAGCTGTCTTACCCATTCATAACTATCCATTTTTCTTAACTATATTTTAAAAGGCTGCACTTTCTTCAGAAAGACAGATTTCAATATTTAATGTGTATTAAGAGTTCTTACCATTTTTTAAAAGTCAGATAATGATAATCCCTTTCTTCACTAAGTGAGTCTCTCACATTGCCCCTTCCTTGTAGGTGGAGGTTAGGGCTTTGGTTGGGTGCAGTGTGCATGCTGGGAGGGAGTAGAGCGAGGGTGACCCCTGGCACCCTGTCATCACTGATGTGTCTGTCATTGCTGTCTCTCTGCATTCCTAGTCATTGTTCTTACGGCAGCAGGAGAGATCTGAGCTTGTGTGAACAGCTCTGTGTTGGAAGGTAAATACAGTATTTACTGGACATTTATTCTAGAAGTATGTCTGGAGCTTCAGATTTTGCAAAGCTCATACTGACTGTCACTAATTTGATGACTTTATAGCATCTATAAAGTGGTTATCATAGTCAATTTAAAAACATTAGCAACATGCCATTTTTTTATTTAAAAAATTTTAAATTTTATATACTAGCTAGCCCCAGTTCCCCCTCCCTCCTCTTTTCCTGCCCCCTCACCTACCTCTCCTACTCATGGCTTCTCTGTGTTTTATAGAAATAGAAAGCATATTTTTGAAAAACAAATAATTAACAAGGATTATTTATTGGCAGAGGTAATCATATTAACATTGTGATCTATTTTCTTTTAGTCTATTTTTCTTTGCTAATATTAAGTATATGTTATAGTGAGATCATACCATATGTAGAGTTGGATTATTAGAAACTTTTTTTTCATTAAATTGTTTTGTGCGGTGATATTTTTCATATCTTTTTTCAAATAGGTTGTGTACTCTGATTATATTTATTTCCTACCCAGTTCCTCCTGTTCTCTCAGGCAGTTTCCCTTCTATTTCTCTCTCTCTCTCTCTCTCTCTCTCTCTCTCTCTCTCTCTCTCACACACACACACACACACACACACACACACACACACACACACACACAGTTTCCCTTCCATGAGAGAGAGAGAGGGAAAGAGAGAAAGAGAAAGATCTGAATTTGCTTACTTCATTTAATAAGCTGTCCAGTACATCTGTTTTCCTATAGAGATACAGTGTTGTTCTTAACTGTGGCTGAATAAAATTCTGTTGTCTGTCTATGTCTGTGTATCTAACATCTCTCTTATTTATCACATTTTCTGACCCGTGCTTCTATTGGTGGACACCTATGCTAATAGGATAATTTGGCTGTTGTGAGTAGCACTGCAGTAAACGTGGATTTACAGGCCAGCTCTCTGGTACGCTGACTTAGAGCCCTTTGGATGTATTCCCAGGAGTGTATATCTGGATTGTATAATAGCTCTATTGTTAACTTTTGAGGGATCTTCATAATGACTGCACTGGTTTACATTCCCAGCAGTATATAAGGGTTCTTTCTCCTACCAGACTCCTGTATCCTTGCCAGCACTGTTTGTCTTTCTTAGTGATCACATTCCGATGCAGGAGGTGGAGAGTCAGTGCGGTTTCCATTTGACTTTCTCCTTGGACTCAAGACTCTCTCACGTATCGGTTAGGCCTTGATACTTCATCTTTTGAGAGGTGCCCTCTCCTTTTCTTTCGTTTATCAGAGTTACATGGTATTTGATATTTTGTTTTTTAGTTTTTTATATATTCTAGATGTTAATCCTCTGTCAGATGAATAGTCAGCACATCCTGTTGACTATCTCTTCACTTGGTTTTTTTCTTTACTGTGCCAAGGATTACAATTCCATGCAGCCCTGCTTGTTAAATCTTGGTTTTATTTTCTGAACAATTTTAGTCATTTTCAGAAATGCCAATCATGTACTTTGAAGGGCTTTTCTCTGTTTTTGAACAGTTTCACCATTTCAGGGCTTACTTACAGTAGGTCTTGATTTTTTGCATAAGGTGATTTTTTTTTTTTGGTGTGTGTGTGTGTTGTTTGTTTGTTTAAAATCAGGTAAAAGACAAGAATGTAATTAATTCTGTGGATATCCAGCTTGTGCATATCTTTTTCCAGCACCATTTGTTGAAGAGGCTGTCTTTTCTCCAGTATATGTTTTTCACGTATTTGTCAAAAATTAAATAGCTGTAGTTATGTGGATTTCTTTTGGGGTCCTCTATTCTCCACTATTTTGTCTATTTTTTGTGCTAGTACCATGCTAACTTTCTTATTGTGGCTTTACAACTTAAGTAATATGATACCGCCGTTATTGTTATTTTTGCTCAGGACAGCTTTGCCTACTCAAGAGTGTTTTGTGCTTTTCTATGAGCCCCAGAATTATTTATTTGTGTAAAGAATGACAGACCAAAGTAATATTGCAACCGGTCCAACTTGGTGAACATGAGTTATTATTGAGTTTATTAACAGATGTATGAGTGAGGATTGCTTAGAGAAGCAGGGATGACTCAAAAATCCAACCGTATCACCAAAAAAAGCCAATCCCAGCCTGGATGACAGGTCCCAAATGTGCCTCCTTGGAGCCTTCTGCTCAGCGTGCAGGTAGCTGCTGTACAGGTAGAGAAACCATCTCGCAGTAGCTCAGCTCATCAGTCTCCTGCAGCGCTTGTTTCCTCTGCTTCTAAAGCCACACGGGGTCTTTTGAGAGACTCTTTCCCATTTTCAGTTTTCCATGTAATGTTTGTTTTGTTTTTATCTCTGAGTTTCACAAGCCTTTCTTTCTGTTCTGGAGAAAGCATTTCTACAACTGCACACACTGATAATTTAACTCCTTCCATTCCTATTTCTTTATTTCCCCTTTGCTTTTCTTGCTCCACCTACCCCCAGCTAAGACTTGAAGCACTGTACTGAATAACAGTGGAGAGAACAAAAACCCTACCCCATCCCTGATTTTAGAGGAAATGCTTTCTACCTTGATTACTATAATGTTGGCACTGCTTTGTTGGATATTATCATTTATTCTAGGGAATGTTGTTCTATTCCTATCTTCTCCCCCCACCCCACCTCTTTATTGTAAAGTGATGTTGAACTTTGCCAGAACTTGTTCTATGTGTATTTAGATGAACATGTGATTTTTCTCGAGTCTATTCATGCGCTGTATTGCATTTGTTTGATAGTTTTGTGCATGCATATAATGTGTTTTGATCTAATCTACCTGCATTCCCTCCCTTCCAATTTCTCCCCTATTCCCTTTATCACTTTTTGTTTCCAAACTTCATGTGCTTTTTTTTTTTTAACTCCCTCAAATCAGTGAGTCTATTTAGTTCTACCCATATGTTTATGGGTGGTTGAGGGGCATCTAATGGTAAATGGGTAACACTTCAGGGCTTGCATCCTTGATCAGCGCTACCTGCTGTAGTAGTTTGAGATGTCTCCCAAAATCTCAGACATTCAATTACTTGGTACCTAGTTGGTGGTGCTGTTTGGGGATGCGTGGAAAGTGTGTCCTTGTTGGAGGAAGTGTGTCACTGGACACAGGCTTCGAGGTTTCAGAGCTTTGCACAATTCCCAGTGTGCTTTTTTTGTTTTGTGCTTTTGGTTGAAGGTGTAAGCTCTCAGCTTCCTGCTTTTGCAAACATGCCTTCATTCTGGACTCTTACCCCTCTGGAGCTATAAGCCCAAATAAATTCTTTTATAACTTGCCTTTGTCGTGGTGTTTTATTACAGCAATATGTAAAGTCATTAATACACCCTTTCCTCCCCACATCCATCAGTTACCAATAGCTCCTCAGATTGGGGTGAAACTTCATGAACTTGTCTCCAAATCAGTGTTTGATTTTGCATGGATTTTGCTCCTCTATTTCCAGCCTCTGTGAGTTATGAGCTTTACTTAGTTGATTCAGAGGTCCTTGTTCTTCTGCTATCATCCATCCCCTTACTCTTACTACCTCCTGTTCCTTGGAATTTTCTGAGTTCAGAGGTGGAGGGGGAGAGTGAGATTTGATCGAGACATCCCACTTAGAGATATGTGTTCTAAGGACTCTCTCTGCATAATGTCTGGCTGTGGGTCTCCTCTGCATCTGTTCCAATCTCCTTGCAGGAGGTAGCATTTCTGATGCTGACTGAATGAGACACTGATCTGTGGTTATAGCAAAATATTATTCAGAGTCATTTTATTGCTACATTCTTTTAGAAAAGTAGTATTTGGTTTTCCT